CAACGCACTTATCCGTGCCTCACCTGAAGTTTGGTGTGCAGCCTCAATAGCAAGATGTGGGACTTGAAGATGGTTGGTGTGCCTACCATCGGCTGCCCCCGTCTCCTTGAAGCCACCCACCTTCCTCAACCCACATTTTTTCACTTTTCTTCCCGCTAATTTGCCTCCTGCCAATTATCTGGATTGAGTCTACGTAGTATAATCATGGTTTCCATCGTAATGCATTGTACAGATAGGCCAAATCTTAGTGTTCTCCTATACCTGCCTTTCCACCTCTTCATCTTGCTTCATACTTAAACTTCTCCTGCTCCTGCTGTAAAAAATGCTCCTGCTGTAATTGATGCTTCTACAGCTTCTGCTGCTTCCACCGGCCACTCCCAGAAGCCCCTCTCTCAATCTCCCATCACCTTACTAGCACACATCCAGCACCATAGAAACAAAATTTCAACATCTTACAAGCTCACCTTCAGCATCATACAAACAAATACGGTACCCAGCATCTTACAAGCACACATTCAGCATCGTGGATACTATTTCCCAACATCTCAGCACCGTTTAGTCGCATAGAAGCAAGTGTTGGAGGTGGCGTGTGTTGGAAGCAAGGTGGTGGTGGGGCGATTGATATGCCCCCAACCCACCGAGTGTGTTTCTTCTAGGTGCTCAAGATTGAGCAAGCTAGAAGTTTCGTGAAGGTGCAGGTTGACTTCGGAGGACTTGCACTTCGGTGCCACATGGCAACTCAAGAACAATCGAGACTGAAGAAGAATTCGGTTCGGTGAAATTCGAGTGTCGAATTTCACCCCTTCGAAATGTTACTCGAACATTCGCGAGTGTAGCGGTTCGAGGTTACTTGTGCGACTCGATCTTGTTTGCATGCTATAAATCTGTTTTCTTTGTATTGCATGAAATCATACTGATCACATAGTGAAATTCAGAGTTCTTTGTACAAGGTACATTCGAACACAAATTCCAGAGAGCTTCTATACTTGCATTCAAGAGCACCACCCAACACGTGAACGCCTATATCTCGGCGGATACTTAGGCGATCGACGTGTGTGACGGCTCGTTGGAAAGCTAAGACAGAGCTCTATCGTTTAGAACAACTCCCAGTTCCTGCAAAGTAGAGGAGAGTCCTTTACAACAGCAAGTACCGTTCCCAGCATCTGTACAAGCATGTAGAAGCAAAATGCAAGATTTGACAAGCAAAAAGAAACCCAGCATCATACAAAAATAAACCCAGCATCTTACAAGCACACAATCAGCATTGGTGAAACAAATACACAGCATCTTACAAACGATCTAACCCGAAATGAAACTCATCTTCTTGATCCTGAATCTCCTGCGCCCCTATACCCCAGATTCTTTTCTGTGCTTTGCTGCTCCCACGTCTACCGCTTCTACATTTCCCGGTCAAGCCTTGCCTGGTTTCGCTGCAGGCCAACAATTTCCTGCTACGCACCTCGCTTGGTACGGCTGCTTCTACCCAAACACTGGGAGTGTCCCGAACAATCCCAGCTTCATCCACAAAAATCTTAATGCGATTTCCCCTATGATCCGCGATAATGGTATCCCCAGGCGCTATGATCCAAACACTCCACGAAGGCGGCACTTCGGCCTGGATCTTCTTGAGTGCCTCCTCTCCCGTCAACCCCACCATCTCGGGCCAGGCAAATTGCTGCGAAGCAAGGGAGTGAACAAGTGGCAAGAAAATAAGGAGAAAGCGGCAATTTACAGACTGTCATGCATGGAGAGAAAAACAAAGGCAGAGATAGAAGGATGGATCGAGGCAATTGAGGAGAGAGAGAGAGAGAGAGAGAGAGAGAGAGAGAGAGAGAGAGAGAGAGAGAGAGAGAGAGGAGAGAGAGAGAGAGAGAGAGAGAGAGAGAGAGAGAGAGAGAGAGAGAGAGAGTGCACACCTTGTAGAAGGCTGCTCGATCTCTTCAGGGGGCATGACAGGGCTAGGCTGCTTCTGCTTCTTCTTCTTCCCCTGCTTCTTCTTCCGCTGTTGCTGCTGCTTCAGGGTCGTCAGCATCTGTCTGCTGATCTGAATCAGCGTCTGAATCTGCTGCCCCTCGGGCTGCTGCTGCAGTTTGCGCGGCACTGGAGCATCTCCGACGAGCATGATGGGAATTTGCGCGTCGCCTGAATGGCCTGGCGAAAATTGGTGAACGTATCCGGCTGTTCGAGGGGATTGGGGAGAATGTTTTGGAGAAACTCGAGATAGGAACCAGATCTCGGAGGCCCGGGGCGGGTGAGCGTCGTGGGTCAAGGGAACCCGCGTATGATGAGTCGACTCAAAAATCGACTAATCGTGGGTCATGGGAAAGCGACCAGATTAGTTCAACTACGTTGCTACGTGATGATGGTCAGTACCGGGCTCATGCACAAATGAAGCACATTTTCCCCCAACTTCACCAGATCACACACTGGTGGCATGAAACAAACGTTTCCTTAGTACGTCGATCGTGGTCGTCATGATCGGTTAGAAGTCGCCGACTTGCCGCTCCTTCGCTGTCCCGCGGTTCGCAAGACAAAATCAACACGAGGAGAAATCCGAGCAGCATACTGACGAACGCTTTTGGATCGGGGTTGATTTCAACTGCTCGAGTAATATACAAAGGCGATAAGTGCACTGTGTGGTTCTAGAGTTACTGCTGAAGAGGAACTGCGGAAAGGCTCATTTTATGTGACAGCCCAGGTCCTACAGGAATGAAGTCGTGCGGTTGAGAGCTGATGTGCGTCCACCTTCACTACCTCACCCATTCCCATAAGCCATCGAGGCGCAATAATGCAAAATTTGTGAGGGAAATCCTCCAATCCCCTCTCTCATTCCAATTATGCAATGCTCGAGCGCCAATCAGACCACGCACAACGCGGCGAACGGAATAATGCGAGGAACGATGACAGCTATTTGACTGGCGAGAATGAATTCGCCGACGAGTCGAATATTCGCGAAAACCAAACACGCGCCATCTCGTGGCCGTACAAAATTCGCCGGACCTGGTAAACACTTTGACGAAACTTTCTCGCGTTTCGGAGCAAGAGGTGGTAACTTGGCTCTCTTCACTCCCATCCCTTACCAGTACCCCGCTTACCCAAGCAAGCACCTATCATTTCTGTGATCACTGTACTGAGTTGCATAAAAGAAAACAAAGCTACAATAGAACATGCTTTACAGTCTACCACCCGTGAGTAATGTTGTCAAATTCATCCGAAGATTAGGGTGGTACAAAAATTTCACCAGATGCTTTTCACGGACACTCGCTTTGGGCTGAAATATGTTGATGCTACCATAAGCACCCAGGCCCCCAAAAGTCAGCGTTTTGACACTGAGAAAGCACTCAATGGAGAAGTTGCACACTGAAATGGAGGCCTGGCACACCGGAAGCATAACTTGCCTCCCGCAACCCTTTCCCAGACCTACCGTCTCCCCCTCCACCCTCCCCCCCCACCCCTCCTCCCCCCTCCGGCCCCGTCCCACATAGTCTCCCAAACCTTCCATTTAGTATCGCCACCTGGCGAGAGAGCTAATCACCTACAGGGCCTCATCGAGTTGTCCGCATAAGTGATGACATGGCGCTTTGAGTGCTGATGCAGCTCCGGATAGCCTCATGCAAAGAAACTGCGGGTAGTATTACATAGTACAAGATGCTATTACAAGGAGTGTCACAAACAGCTTAGGAAAACGTGCATTTGTCCCCAGATGTCTCACAACCCTGCTCTATGTTACAGTTTGGCTACAGCCTAAACACCATGTGACCACCCGCATTGTATACCACTAATCCGTTTCATTCAGAAATTCTAACCAACCGTGGGAGCTCTCTGGACGATCCCAGCATTGTCTACGTAGATGAGAACGCGATTCTCTCGAAAGTCCGTGGTCATCATAAACCCACTCGGAATGACGGAAACGGTCCACGAAGGCGGCACAGCGGCTTTGATATGCTTGAGAGCCTTCTCTCCCTTCATCCCCACCACCTCGGGCAGGAGGTTTTGCTGCGAACGGAAGGAATCAAACAGCGTTACACCAAAAAATGCATATATGATACACTGTGGTCATCACAGCCCCACTCGAAACGACGGCAAAGCTACAGTGTGGGGGCACAGAGGCCAGCATCTGCTTGCGTGCTGACTCTCCCGTCACCCCAGGCCAGAAATTCTTGCTGGCGGGATGACGAGACGGCGGCGGAGGGGAACGAGCAGCATTTCAAGAAACATGGCATGATTGAAAAAACGTCTCAAAAAAACATATGCATGGAGAGAAATAACATTGATAGGGATTACTAATAAAACAACAACAGCCATCTACCTTGTATCGGAGGCGATCTGCTTGCGTCTTCGGCCTCGGCTTCTTCCGCTGCTGCTGCTGCTTCAGGGTTGTCAGCATCTGTCTGCCGATCTGCCTCAGCGTCGGAATCTGCTGCCCCTGCTGCTGCAGTCTTGCGCGGAAGGGTAGCGTCTTCAAAGAGCAAGGGGAATTGCGCGTCGCCCGAGTCGCCAGGAGCGGAGAGAGCCTGCTCGAACGACGACTGGAGTGCGACTCCGGCCGCCCAAGGGGATCGGGAAGAGAATTGGGGTAAATTTATATACAAGTTAAATCTCGGGGGACGCGGAATGGAACGTAATAGTCGTGAGGCACGGAAGAGGCAAGGTTAACACGTTCGTCGGGGCTTGAACGTGGTGAAGGACGGCGGGGAGAAATGATCGTGACTTACTTTGACCGTACAAACAAACAAGCCACTCTACCCCTCATGCACCTCTCATGAACCTTCACTCCAGCCTCTTCTACGGAATCACACACCGCGCAACCCGATCCTGCCTCTCCAGCTCCGCCGCCATACTCCTGCTGCTCTTGAGGCGTCTCAAAGGCAAACAAAGCCATCCTACATCATACACCTCTCTGAACATGCTACGGAATCCTGCCGTGCAAACGATCCTGCCTTTCCAGCTCCGCCTCCATATCCTGCTGGTACTGATTATACCTATCCTGAGCATACTGCTCATCCAGCGCCTTCTTGTCCGCCTGGATCCACGCTTCGAGGGCCGCCTGATCGTCGGCTAATTTTCTGCGCTTCCGACTTCTCCGTCGCAGACTGCTGCCCCTCCGTCCCCTGCTGCTGCCCCTCCGCCGGCTGCTGCACCACTGCAGGCTGCTGCACCGCCGCCGGCTGCTGCACCTGCGCGGCAGGCTTCACCACGGCCGGGACCGGCCGCCGTGTCGGCACCGGCTTCTGCTGTGGCAGCGTCACCGGCTTCTGCGGCACCGGCTTCTGTTTCGGCACCCTCTGCTGCTGCAGTTTACGCTCAAGTGGGGCATCTGAGACGAGCGGGGGGATTTTCGAGTCGCCAGAGTAGCCAGTCACGGAAATTGTCTGCCCGATCGAAGATTGCTGTACTACGATTCCACCTGTAAGGAAAGATTGGGGAGAGATTTGGGAGAGGCTCAGCTGAAAAAAAAAATGAAAATTCGAAGTGCCAAGCTACGTGAGCACAGGAAGAGGCAATGATTAGGACGCTATGATGCGTCGGCGAGAAAAGAAAAGTCACTCATTTTTTCAGGCTGCATTATTCGCCTTCGTTATGAACTCGTCTTACGTCGATCGTTCAGGTCGCTTAAGAGTCTACGCGCCTGAAATCCTTCGCTGACCAGCGGTCCGCAAGAGAAGACAAGAACGAGGAGAAATCCCAGCAACATTTTGACAAGCTTCGATGGGTACTAGCTCGGGATGATTTAAAAGCGAGGTCGGTTTGTTCAAAAGCAGAAAGGGTTTGCTGGCTGATAGAGTCTGAGTCAGAACTTCGAAATTTATGGTGCAGAGTAACGAGTTTCAGGGGTGGTGGTAGTCCCTGGACCACCGCATGTTTGCTTCCATTCAGCTCAAATCGAGCTCAATCGCGCTTCGTGAATTATGGGAGGCCCAATAATTCGTGAGATATTGGTTACTGAACGTACATATGTGATTGTTTTGCGAAATACGTTGTGCTTTCTTTCTCGAGCTGGTCGCCGCCCGTACTTTCCCATTCTTTTAAATAGCAAGCCGAGTGTCAAGAGTTTATTTATGTGGTTGTTTAGGCAACAAATCCTTGACAGATGGGGTTATGTTGATAAAGTCAGAAACCGGTGTTCTTCACAGGGTCGCAGTTTGAGTCTCCTCAGTAAAACATCAGAAAGAAAAAAACAAAAAAAACCGAAACAGCGAGAAAAACGTGCATTTTTTGGCTCGATCTCATCGGAACGATACATTCACGAAAATTTTCTGATTCCAGAGAATCGTTTTGTCAAGGAAAACAAAACATGGCAAAAGTTTTCATTGTTATCGCAACTTCTCACGGGAACATGCAGACCAGCAAACATTCGGTGTGTGAGTAGCTTTAATGTAAATGTGGATGTAGTGATTCGCTGATGAAAGGAAATCTAGTTACGACAGAAAATATGAGCAAAAATAGCGTTGACTAGGAAGTTCTCCCGAATTGACCCAAAAAAGTCATTACTCGGCCACCAATCGCAGGACCTGCGACGCGGAGGACTGAATTATGGAAGTCTCCGTGCGAAGTGCTTGACCTGAAATTCGCCAACGTTCTCGATTGATCGCAAAATATACTGGTTTCATCTCGCGAACTCTCTACTCAACACGTTTGGGGAGGGACTTTATGACCTGGTTACAATGGCTGACCTTCGTTCCCCTTCATACCACCAGTTCATTGTTCTGTATATCTATGTACACCTCCTGAGACAAGTGCATCGAATATACTTTAGATTTATCACCATGTTAGCTTCACTTTCACCAGACATTTACCTACATACCGCTCACCCAAAATCTCCCTGCATTACACCATTCAACATTGCAACTAATTAGAGAGTGCTCTGCAATTACTCTTGCATTCACGTTCACTCCAAAGCCTACATGCAACCACCTGGGAATGAACCACATGAGTGTAAACAGCATCTATAATTAGTGCAACCATCGCCCCTATGTCTCTAATTCCTTAGTTGGCAGCGTTTTTGGCCTCAAAGGTCTAGAAAAATTTGGGAGATGGCAGAATGGTTCCCATTGTTGAATGAAACCAGAACATTCGCACCTTTGGCCTAGTTGCTGTGCGTAGCAATCTAGTTTCTGTTTAGAAAGATTGACTACATCACATGCAAGGTTTGCTAGTGCACAGGCAGGTCGACCGCCAGCACGACAAAGTTGTTGACCTACCAACGTAGCAAGTTCTGCGGCCCGCAACGCAGCTCGTGTACGACTTGCCAACGCTGCATAATGGCGGTCTGCCAACGGTGAACCCGCGCGGTCTTGCCAACGCATGCACCCCGCGCGGCTTGCCAAGATTGCATCCGCAGTTGATTGTAAGCGTATGTGCAAGCACCTACTTCGCAGGTGCTTGTAGACAGTTACGCACTGACGTGCACCTATCGAGCACATTTGCGCAGGTGCCCAGGTCGGCCACATGCAGACGGTTTGCACCATGACTAGCCACGTCGACCACGTGCTGCCATTCGTGTCGACTTCGCCACAAGCAAACCCGACGACGTTCGCGGCACCTCCGCAAGAACCTCGTCGACCGGGTAACCTGCAGGTTGATGACATTCGTCATCGTAGGTCGAACGACCTTCGTCGTTGCGGTCGACGACCTTCATCGACCACCTCGGTCGACATTCAAAATGTCAGCTCCTCATTGGTCGAAATTAGGGCACATTTCGAATTTCTGGCCAAAATTCGCAGTGTGCATTCTCAGAGGGTGCGCAGGGTCAGACGCGACCCGGCGCCGATGAACACCCGCGAACCTCTGCAACCAGCTGCTCCAATTGCACATGTGCACAAGGCACTTGCGTTGCACTCGCGGATGCTTCAGTTACTCTTGCATGAGTTTTTTAATATACTCGTGACAGGCAACCCTTCACCCAACCTGCGCTGAAGCTCCAAATCTCGCATACTGCAGAAGGTCGGCTGCATCTCCCACACACCCGACCACCAAGTCAGTTTTTCCCAGGCGAGGGCGGGGCCAACTTCCTTCAACACTCCCCTGCCGCGCTCACGCTTGTCCAAAGACCGGGCTGTCAAAAGCCGCCATAACATGTCCGCGGAAGTCTTCCCAAACCGCTTCACGTTCTGCTGCATGTGCCACCCACAGAAGTAGTGCGCCACCTCAGGGAACACTTCCTTCACCGCCGGGATGAGACCTTTGTCCCGATCGCTGATGATGGCCGCGTCGTCCCGTCCCTTCCAGTCGGAGCAGTGCTTATCAAAGAGCCGGCAAAACCAAGTCCATGTGTCCTTGGTTTCGCTCTCTACGAGCGCCCACGCGATGGGGATGATCTGCTGATTGCCGTCCATCGCGTTGGCGTACAGCAGAGTAGCCTTCTGAGCACGGATCAGGAAAGTCCCGTCCAGTGCGATGACAGGCCTGCACGTCTTCAGTGCTTCGCGTGTTGCACTCGGCGCCATGAAGAAGCGGAGAAATTCGTGGTTGTAAGTCAAAAGCTCCACGGTTGCTCCGCTGTCGATCTGCCGAATGCGCTCTTGCACCGCCGGAATGTAGCGGAATGACTCGCACCAGTCGCCGAATCGTTGCGCCGTGATGCCTACCTTCAGCCTGCGTGGGTGGAATGTGTGGGTGGTATCGGGAAATGAGTGAAGTGGAGGCAACACAGTCGCTAAAAGAAAAGCTCCCTTGATGTTCGGCCTATGACGGGTGTACGCTCACCGGTAGGCATTGTTGTAAGTTAACTTCGGACCAGAGCAGGCCGTAATCTGCCTGGCGTAGTCCCAAGGGGCGTTGAACGGCGCTGCACGGACGAAGTTGCCGAATTTCCGCCAAAGGTACTTCCTCTTACGTCCCATACCGGGCCACCACCGGGTCCGGTAGACACGGTCGCATGTGTGCTCTGCGGGATCGGACAGCTCAACGATTTGCCACGGTCCGTTCTGCTCGAGACGAGCGTAGCTGCACCGCCATGGACAAGGGGGGCCAACCCAAGCTTCTGACTCTTGCACAACGCTAGCGCCGATGCCCTCTGGTAGACTTCATGTAGAAACCGTATTTATGCACTACCGCATCATCAAGCAAGGCAAAGAGGCAATGATCCCGCGAGGAGTACCAGTTACCCTCCTGAATGGCAGCGTTGTCATTGATAGTAGGCCCCTCCTCGGGTTCAAACTCTATGTCGAACTGCTCCAGGATAATGTTATACATGTCACGGCCATTAGCCAAAGGTTCCTCCATTGTGGATCTGATACAACACGTATGTTATCCACGCGCAATATGTAGATGATCATCCGCTGCCCGAGTTTTTTAACGGCGAGACGCGAACACATGATTACGCTATGTAGAACTGCATCTGGTGTTGGAGTATGATGGACTCGGATTCCCTGACACTTCGTACAACAGCTAGGAACAACAACAATTCACTTGTCAGTCCCAGGTGGCATAATCCTGGCAGTGGTTGCCACCGGTGCGTGTCGTCAGAAATCGCGGCGAATGAATTGTGTTATGATCGCTGGCGCGTTTATTACCAGATTCTGAACACATTATACCCAATCAAGCCCCGACGAGTGGCTTGTATATGTAAAAGTGGCGCGAGGGAAGTTCGATGTCAACAGCACAAACTGCGCACCGACAATTTGGAACCCATCCAAAAAAAAAACCCTCATAATGGTTAAATGAAGCTAAATCCGGGGAGCGCGTACCGCTCGCGATAGAAGGTGGATGGTGTGTCTTTCGGTTGTGTAAAAATTTGAGCGCGATGAAAAAAAATCACGAGGGCAAAGCCCGCGCCGCGGCAATTCTCTCGGTAGAAGGTCGTTTTCCTTCACCTCCCGCCGCCATCTCAGCAGCACCGTGCTGGCTACCCCTTCGCCAACAGCAATCGCTAACGGGTGCTCGAGTGTTACGCTCCAACAGCAATAGGTTCCGCACAGACTCCCGCTCATGCACCCCGCTCACGTAGTCGCTGCAGCCACGCGAACTTCTCTCACACACAGGAGGTAGAACCAAACGTTGCACTCCATATGTGATTCATGGACGTTTTGGGGTTCAGCTTAGAATCAGTGCTTGTTTGTTCTCAGCGTACTGCGACTAGTAATCATATCAGCGTTCTCAGCGTTCTCACGCACTGCGACTGTATTATCAGCACAGCGAATTGCGCGACGACCAGCAACAGCAGCACGTGGTATATTTTCGAGGCGTGTTTCGATTAGTAGTAGTAGTGTTGCGTCTCATCACATCAGCACAAGGGCTTGCGCGACGACCAACGTCAGCGCCGTAGACGCGACGTGGATTGTCGCGTGGTACGGGAGATCCTTAAAACCCAGCCCGGTCGCGCAAGGCTGGGCCGTGGCGGCAGTCTCCGCATCCGCAGGAGCCGCCACTACAGCTGCAGCAGCTGGAGCTGCGGCGGCAGCAACAGGAGCAGCAGCAGCAGCAGCAGCAGCAGCAGTGTCGCGCTTCTCGCCGCATGCGTCATCCTCGGTCATCCTCATTTGCAAGATGACCGT